TCTAGTCTCTCGAAACCCGCACTGAAATAGGTCAAGCAGATTGTTTGTTTCAAGGAAATGTACAAGTCGGCAGTTTAACATTTTTTCGAAGACTTTGCACAAGCAGCTTGTAAGTGCTATAGGCCTATAACTCGAGGGTAAAGAAAGGTCCTTGCCCTCTTTAAAAATAGGAATAACAGTAGCCTCTTTCCAGTAGGTAGGGATAGTGCCAGAAAACCAGATAGCATTGTACAAACAGAGTAAGGTTTTTCGCGTTTCTTCTGGTAGGTTTTTTAACATTTCATACACCACACGGTCAGAATCTGGGGCAGAAATGCTGCAGGAGTTTAGAGATGTTCGGAGCTCAGCTAGACTGAAAGCTTGGTTATATGCTTCGTATCTAGTGGATTGGTGTTCGAGTTTCTGCTTTTCTATTCTTGTTCTGTATTTTTGGAAAGTGTCAGTACAGTGGGATGAGCCGGATACCCGTTCAAAGTGTGCACCGAGGAAGTTTGCCTGATCTTCCAAGTTATCACCCTGAGTGTTTACGAGTGGGAGTGAGTGTACTTTTCTTCCTGCTACCCTACGAACCATTTTCCAGACTTTGGCGTCTTGTGTATACGAACTTATCCCTGATAAAAACTTGTGCCAACTTTCTCTTCTGGCCTGACGACGCGTTCTCCTGCCTCGAGATTTTATTTTCTTAAAGCTCTCAAGGTTATCCGCTGTCGGCGAGTTCCGCAGCAACCTCCATGCCCTGTTCTGTTCCTTTCGCGCATTACGACACTCTGTGTGCCACCATGGGACGTGTCGTTTGCTGGGCATTCCAGATGTTTCCGGTATGCACTTGGCTGCTGCGTCAGTTAGAAAAGCTGTGAAATACTGCACAGCTTCATTTATGTTTAACCTACACATGTCTGTCCAACTCAAACGTGTAGTGTTATGAAACTGTTCCCAGTCGGCTTTGTTTATCAGCCATTTGGGAACGTGTAGAGGAGCTTCATATGTTGTTTGTGAACTCAACACTACAGGAAAATAGTCACTACCATAGAGATTATTCATGATTTTCCATTTTAGTAGGGGTAGGAGTGAAGGTGATACGATGCTGAGGTCGATAGATGAGTAAGTTTTGTTGGCTACGTTATAGTATGTTGGCTCTTTCCTATTCAAGAAACAGGCACCGGAAGAGAAGAGAAATTGTTCAATGAGATGACCTCGTGCATCACAGCGAGAATTGCCCCACAGTCCACTATGTGCATTTAGGTCCCCAAGAAGCAAATAAGGTTCTGGCAGTTCGTCTAATAAAGACTGAAATTCACGTCTTTCAAGACGGTGGTGGGGAGGTACATACAAAGAGCAGATGGTGGCGAGTTTGTTTAAAAGTACCGCTCGAACAGCCACCGCCTCAAGAGATGTCTGGAGTGGTAAATGTGTACACGTTACTCCTTGGATAGTAATAATGGCTACGCCACCGGATGACGCCACAGCATAATCTCGGTCCTTTCGGTATATGACGTAAGCACGTAAAAAGTTTGTATTGGAGGATTTTATGTGTGTTTCCTGTACACACAGCACTTTAGGTGAGTATTTGTATAAAAGCTCTTGTACGTCGTCGAGGTTCTTAAACAGTCCTGTGACGTTCTAATGGATTATTTGTGTGTCCATATTGGAAGTAAAGTAGTGCTGTGTGTACGTTAAGGGAGTGACTTGTTTAAGCTGAAAGGTCGAGCTCAAGTACAAGGGCCATTGTCAGGCCCTGTGATGAGCTTTTAGTTCTCTTGGCGCGCTCCAGAGAGCCACGCCGTTCTTTTTGCACCAGGGGTGCCGCCGTATCCATTGCCTCCTCGGAGGCACTGGATGCCCGCTCATGCGAGCTGGTTTTTCGAAGCTTGGGCCTCGCCTGGCGAGGTGAGGCCTCTAGACCCGAGGACCCTGGAGTCTCTGGTCTCAAGGCAGCCAATGGCTCGCTCTGCGCAGGCCGAAGGAGTGGCGAGGGCTGGTGCGACACTGCCTCCTGGCGCGCCGCATCAGCATATGTGGGGCCATAAAATGGCGAGACACTTTTTCTTGCTTCTATAATGTAATGTTTTCTTTTATCTTTAAAGTGATGATCTCTTTTTCTTTTTTCCAGAAAGAACATGAACGTGAGTACGCGGCATGATTTCCGCCACAGTTCACACAGTGTGATGGTTCTTCGCAATTGTCAGAATTGTGGCCTGACACTCCACATTGTGCACAAGTTTGGTGACCACGACAGCTTTGTGAGCCGTGGCCATACTTCTGGCATTTAAAACAACGACGCGGGTTAGGTATGTATGGTCTGATCGACGTCTTTGTGTACCATGTTTGAATGCTTTCTGGCAGATTACTGGAAGCGAACGTGAGTATCAGGTGTTTCGTTGGTGTTACCTTGTTGTATCTTCTAATGGTGATCCTTTGTACATTGGTCACATTCTGACTCTTCCACCCCTCCAGAAGTTCCTCTTGAGTCAAGCCGAGCAAATCAGCATCAGATACTACTCCACGGGTTGTGTTCATCGATCTGTGTGGCGTTACAGTGATGGGAGTGTCACCAAAAGTTGACAGATTCTGTAGCTTTTCAAACTGTTCTTTTTCTCGAACTTCACGGAGGAGGTCTCCGCTGGCCATTTTGGTAACTTTGTACCCGGCTCCAAGAGTTTCTGTGAGACAGCTGGCTACTACAAAGGGGGATACAGTTCTGGCTTGCTTGCTGCTTATCTCACTATGTATAACATGAAAATGGGGGAAGTTTTCACTTGATCGGTTGAAAAGTCGTAAGTCTTCGGTGCGTATGCGCTTTAAGGCGGTACGATCACTTAATAAGGAAAATGCTCTATGCATGCCAGTTTAATTTTCTTCAGAAGCGTTGGCGGCCACCCACCACGGAGCCCAACGAGGGGACGCTACAAGTTTGTGGATGCTAAAACCTGCAGACGCCAGCCGTACAACGCAACTATAACCCAATGCGCCTAGACCAAGGTAGGCTATTTGCACAGGGTTAACCCTAGCCGCCAGGAAGTTTGGAAGTAAACGGAAGAGAGTAGAAGACAGGACAGGTAAATAGTAAGAGATAAAGACGAAGATGTAGGGAGAGGGACATAGGAAAAGGCGACTGCCGATATCCCCTGGGTTTGGTCAGCCCAGGGGAGCCGTCTACGTGAAGCCGGGGCCAAAGGGGTGTGTTGCCTCTGCCAGGGGGCCTTAACGGTCCAATCACCCAGCGTCGGCTCAACGCCCAGGATCCCCTTTTCCCCGGACACGGCAAAGCCACACACGGCTAGGCGTGGGAGGAAGTAGAAACTCCCCCGTTAGCTCGGGTCCGTGGTGTCGCTACACACCGAACGCCTACTTGCGCAGGCGCGTTTGCGGGGCGACTACCGACTTCCCAGGGTGGGTCAGCCCAGGTGTGCCGTCTACGTGAAGCCGGCGACAAAGGGGTGTGTTGCCTCGGCCGAGGGGCCTTAAAGGTCTGATCACCCGGCGTCGGCTCAACCCCCAGGATCCCCGTTTCCCCGGACACTTCGAAGCCACGCACGGCTAGGCGTGGGAGGAAGTCAATACTTCCCCGTTAGCTCGGGACCGTGGAGTCGCTACATACCAAATGCCTACTTGCGCAGGCGCCCCTGCGGGGGAAACTGGACATTTCAGACAAAACTCAGAGCCTGCAGTCGGAAAGCTTGCATGACATCGCAGTGGCGTTTCGCACACTCACATTGTTACGCTGTGCCACAAGACCATCTTTTGACCAGCATAACAATACGCAGTGTACGCATTTCGGACGGGTTCGCGGGTCTGCATTTCACGGCAGGACCGTCGTCCACTCCGGTGTGGTGTTCCGCCATGTCGAAACTTGCAAAGCATATGTTGCGCGCGCTGAAGAAGCCAACTGCAGAACCTTTTCGCCGATGATTGTGGTCGCCTTTGCAGAGGTGATGCTTGGGCAGCCATCGTAGAAGTCGTGTGAGATGAATGACGTAATCGCATTTGGTATAGTCATTCTTTTCCCTCATAGCTTTGATGCAAGAGATTGAAATGTAGACCTTGTATAAGTTTAAAAAGAACGCTGTAGCATGTCTCGTGACGTGCCTTATAATGTGCGCCGGGCCAGCATTCATTGTGACGTCATGGGCGTAATGGAGAAAACGCTTGCATGCAAGGAAGCACGGCTTCGACATCTGGCAAAAGAAGGTTTCAGATTTAACATGTTTGTAAGCGAAACAAGAAACATCAAGTGGATAGGGCGCTTCTTGGCTTTTTGGCTAAGATCGCTTCTCGCCATTTTGGCTAAGATCAAAATGTAGTCCTACCCCTCGTGATTACATGTGGTTGGCTCAGGGGTCGGGCTTTGATGCCCACTCCCATTAAGTGGGGACCACTTTTTTCGCTCTTCTTTTTTCCACTCTCTTCTCTTTTCCCCTTCCTTCTGCCACTTGCACTGCCTTCAAGACGCGCTCCTTGGGGAGCTAACTGATCAGTTGCACCACAAATAACTTGTTCTTCCCCTGTCCTGAGGTTAGGTACTGCTTGTATGGCTCGATGCTGTTCCACACTTGAACGCCTGGCCTATTCAGCAGCGCTGTCTGGTGTCTTTGGACCCGCGATGGTCTGTGCCTCTGGGGTTTCCTTGGCAGACTCACTTTGGGGTGCGGCAGTAGGTGAGTGACGCCCCGCGGTGGGTCAAAGGTTCACCCCACTATACCACTGTATTGATCTATGTGTTCAGGGACCGCTTGCTTAGCTGGAAGGTGGTCCCCCAAGAGGACATTCCCGACTAAGCTCGCGGTTCCCGGACACTGGGTGGAAATGCTGCTCAACCCCTGTTCTTCTGGCCTCTGCCAAGGCAGCTCCTCCATTGGTCTACGCCACGGAGAGTGGCCAAGCCATTAGGCAAGGAAGGGTGGACGCTGGGCGGCAGTATAGCGCTGCACCCTTAGGGTCAGGCCCTTTGGTCCCGGCAGGTCCGGGTGGCCTTCGGTCGGGCCAGCAAGGTCGAAACTACCATTCCCTCAATGTGTTGCCTCTTTTGATAACCACTCTCTGTTCTTATTAGCCTATTATGTGATATGGATTCTATTTGTATCCAAGATAATAAACTTATTTTTGCAATGCGGAGCAAAGCTTGAAGCTTGCTTCAACTCCGCCGCGGGTTGGCCCGGTATTGCACTATGTCCGGGATTGGCCCACTCTTCCTGCGGGGGTGAGTACAACACTATCCTCAATAAAAACGACGTGTCCTGATTCATCAAAGATATTTGGGTAAACCGCGAGGTCGTGGCGACTTTCTGAAGCTTTGGTGTCACTCCGCCCCAGGTGACGCGGTATTCGCCGCCTTTCGCCCACGTTTGGGGTCCCCTAGCTGTGTTCACTTATACGATTGCTTTGGGAAAGTGAATCTTATTGTGGAAAATTTATATTCGGGAGCCCCCTTTTTTCTCTTAGAGCATACATACCCCAAGTTTTTTTCAACATCCCAAATAATTAAGGTAATGAGTGGTTTGTTATTACTGTTTCAAAGGAACACGCAAAGTGTGTATGTGACAAAACAGCCTTGTATAGCTATTTTCACTTTTGGAGTTGCGCATTTCAGAAAAAAAATCAAACAGCTTCTATTGCGTGTTGGTGTTTCTGTTTACAGTTGCAGTGACAAGCAAAAGCATTTTTATTTCACGTCTTCATGAGACATCTTACCCTGAAGGCGTGTGCTTTCACGACGTCTTCACATGTACACTGTTCCCCATCACAAAAAAAAATCGCGAGGAACAGCAGAACACGCACACCGCACGCACCTGCAGTGCGGTGGAGCGGCAAAGCCCTGACGTGCACTCGTCCGTGTGCTCTTCTTGTGTCCACCAACATGGGTCCCAGCTTCCGCCAGTGGTAGCAGTAACTCGTTGCCATGCGGTTAGTTACCTCGCTGTCGCCCTCGGCCATCGTTTTGTTGATCACACACTACATGTCTGGACATCATCTCGAGCATACCAACTCATCCGTTCTTGGTTCTCCTTAATTACAACGAACATCCTCTTATGCTGCCTGAATGGAACAGCCATTTCCTAGAAGTAGCAAGGAAACTGTGCACTATACATACAGATGCATGACTCACGTACCTGAAGCGCGGTGGAATCCAGGACGTGTGAGATAACGACTCGGGCGCGCTTTGTTATGCTTTGTTTCTGTACCCTCTGGTTACTCCTCACAGCTTCGCAAAGCCGAATATGTAGAAGGTGAAAAACCAGAATAACAAAGCACTGAATCCCCCACTGTGGGTGTGAGCTTTAAGTGAAGGTCAACAATAGCAAGCATTACAGCGGAGCGCCGTGACGAAGCAGCGGATCAGCGGTATCGTAGTTCAGCAATATAAACCTGTAATTTAGCGACACGTCGCCGTACGGTTGCATTTTTGCAACCACGCGTCTACCGAAGGCGGTCTGTCACGAGGTTACTCGCAGCTTACTCAACGGCATTCGACGAAAGGCGCAGGCGAGTACTTCTCCACTGACTTACGCCACCACTTGACGACCGCCTTCTACCACCTCTTGCAGCACTCGATCGACAGAGCGTCCCGCTGGTGCCTCGTACACGCCTGTAGTGAACGAGTGACGTGCTTCGCACTCACGGGATGCGGTTGCATACTCTCCTTTTTATTAAACGTTCCACAAATATATACAATCACAAGGACCCAGTGTTGCGAACTCAAACCAAGAAACCGAAACTGCAGGTACTATATACAGGATACAACATTTTCCTTCCCTCATTTATTTTTTGATTTTGGGAAGGTATTAGTACGTTAGTGTAGGTTAATCGCGCACAGTTTATATGTGGAACGAGAAATACACAACAAGAATTGATTGATTGATTGATATGTGGGGTTTAACGTCCCAAAACCACCATATGATTATGAGAGACGCCGTAGTGGAGGGCTCCGGAAATTTCGACCACCTGGGGTTCTTCAACGTTCACCCAAATCTGAGCACATGGGCCTACAACATTTCCTCCTCCATCGGAAATGCAGCCGCCGCAGCCAGGATTCGAACCCGCGATCTGCGGGTCAGCAGCCGAGTACCTTAGCCACTAGACCACCGCGGCGGGGCAAATACACAACAGGAAATACACATCAATATATACACACAAAATTATCTATACACATGCCAAAATATTGAATACATTAGGTAACAGGTACACCAACTAAGGAATATTTACACATTCACACTTTATAACCATATCTGTCCGGTCGCCGTCTCTCTCGGTGCGGCTGAATGCGACGACCAGGTGGGCGCGACACCACAGGTTCTTTTGTAGTGTTCACGGGCGGGCGGGAAACAGTTTCTGAAGCAGGAAACTGTCCGGCGGCTTGTCTCGTGGGCGAGCAGGAATCGTAGTCTGCACTAGGCACAGGTATCGCTGTGGGAGCACTTGCCTCGGCGGACGCTGGCTGCCATGTTGCAGCAGGAAGCGTCGCGTCACCGGGATCGTGATAGAACAAATATTCACGCCCTGCAGAATGTTGCTGAAGGCCATTGTCGCCAGGGCGCCGAGCAGGCATCTTGCACAGCTTTGCCGCGTTCCATGTTTCGCCGTCGTCGAGAATGAATGATGCTGGGCCGCATTGCTCGATGACTTTCCTTGGCTTTGAGAAGGAGATGTCACCTTTGAATGAAACCGATGGTTTGTTCACCCGCAGCATGTCTTCTACTGCCACTGTTGTCGGTTTTACCGCTCGCCTCCTGTCGGTTTAGGCTTTGCTGTACTCTTGCCTGCGCTTGACACGTTGCCGCAGCCTGGCCAGCTCCTGGTAGGGTGCCTTTGCGAAGGACTCGGGCGATAAGCCGAAGATGTCAAGCTTCGTTCTTGGCAGCCTTCCATGTAAAAGTACCGCAGGGGCCACTCCTATTGTGGCGTGTGGTCTACACCTGTGTGCGGTGAGGTAATTCCTTACAGCAGTTCGCAGCGGACGTTGCTCTTGACAGGCCAGTTGTAGGTAAGTCTTGAACGTGTGGTTGAACCGCTCGATCTGTCCGTTTGCCTGCGGGTAATAATTAGATGAGTGCGACAGGCGGATTGCTCGTTCTTGTAGGAAGTTGACAAATTCCTTTGACGTGAATAGACCCATTATCACAGACTATCACTTAGGATAGCCTTCCCGTGCAAATACGTTGAGCAGGAACTCGGTCACGGTTCTTGTAGAAATTTCCCTTGAAAACTGTACTTCTGGCCATTTTGAGAAGTAATCTACGAGTGTCAGCACAAATCTGCAATCTGGAGGCGCCCTCTTCAGGGACCAACGATATTCATTGCAAGTTTCTGCCATGGTCTCTCTGGTAGCTCGACAGGTTGCAGCGGGGCAGGCGACGTCTTTGCCAATTTATCTGCTGCTTGACAGATGCTACAATTGTGGACTGCTTCTTACGCGTGGCTGTCCATGCGGGGCCACCAAAATTGCTCCCCAATCTGGCTTTGGTGCGTCCGATACCCTGGTGAGTTTCATGTGCTGTTGCCACAAGTTGAACCACGAGAGATGATGGAACTACAAGCCTCTCTGCACGCAACAACAATTCGCTCACTACTGACAATTCGCCCCGAACTCTGAAATATGGTTCCAGACCTTCCGGCAGGTCTCTGTGTGACGGCCTTCCCACACCGGGACGACCCGGTGTCGGAAGGAACGGATCCGGTGGGGCTATGTTAGCGAAAGCCATCTGGGGGGCGTGGCTGGTTATCCCCCGGGAACTATATCAGACGGGGTTCAAACACTCGTCGCCATTGTAGTGAACGAGTGACGTGCCTCAAACTCACGGGTAGCGGTTGATACTCTCCTTTTTATTAGACGTTCGACAAATATATACAATCACAAGGAACCAGTGTTGCCAACTCAAACACATAAACCGAAACTACAGGTACTATATACAGGATACAACAACGCCACAAAATCACTCCTACTTCTCATAATCCGGAAACCTGGACATTTTAGATTAAAGGCAGAGCCTGCAGTCGGAACGCTTGCACGACATCACAGTAGCATTTCGCACTCACATTGTTACGCTATGCCACATGAACCTCCTTTGACCAGCATAACAACACACACTGTAGACATTTCTCACGGATTTCCGGGTCAGCATTTCATCGCAGGACCGTCTTCGACTCCGGTGCGGTGTTCCGCCACGCCGGAACTTGCAAGGCATATGTTGCGTGCGCTGAAGGAGCGAACGGCAGCACCTTTTCGCCGATGATTGTGGTCGTGGTTGCAGAGGCGTTGCTTGGGCAGCCGTCGTAGAAATCATGTTATATGGGTGATGTAATCGCATTTGGTACTGTCATTTTTCCCCTCCAGGCTTATGTCTGCGAGTTTCCATAATTTTTAAAAAGAAGTGCTGTAGCATCTCTCGTTACATGCCTGATAATGTGCGCCGGCAAGCAATAATTGTGACGTCATAGGCGCAATAGAGAGTCCGCGTGCAAGCAAGAAAGCGTGGCTTCAACGTCTGGGAAAAGTGGTTCAGTTTTAACGTGTGTATAAGCGAAAAAAGAAACATCGAGCCGACAGAGCGCTTCTCGGCCTATTAGCTAAGATAAAAGTCGCTTCTAAGCCTTTTGGCTAAGATCGCTTCTGGGCCTTTTGAATAAGATCAAAGTGTTGTCCTACCCCTCGTGATTATATGTGCTTGGCCCTGGGGCCTAGCTTTGATGCCCTCTCCCATTGAGGGGCGACCACTTTTTTCACTCTTCTTTTTTTCCGCACTCTTCTCTTCTCCCCTTCCTACTGGCACTTGCACTACGTTCAAGACGCGCTCCTTAGGGAGCTAACTGATCAGTTGCACCGTAATTTACGTGTTCTTCCCCTGTCCTGAGGTTAGGTACTGCTTCTATGGCTCGATGATGTTCCACACCTTAACGCCTGGCCTATTTAGCAGAGCTGTTTGGTGTCTTTTAGCCCACGAAGTTCTGTGCTTTTGGGATTTCCTGGGCAGTCTCACTTTGGGGTGCTGTAGCAGGGGAGTGACGCCCCGCAGTGGGTTAAAGGTTCACCCCACTACACCACTGTATATCTATGTGTTCAAGGGCTGCTTGCTTAGCTGGAGAGTGATCACCAAAGAGGACATTCCCGACTAAGCTCATGGTTCCCGGGCCCTGGGTAGGCGTGCCGCTCAGCCCCTGTTCTTCCGGCCTCTGCCAAGGCAGCTCCTCCGCGGCTCTACGCCACTGCGACTGGCCAAGCCCTTAGGCAAGGAAGGGTGGACGCTGGGGCAGACGGTAGGGCGTTGCACCCTTGCGGCCAGGCCCTTTAGTTCCGGAAGGTCCGGGCGGCCTTTGGTCGGGCCAGCAAGACCGAAACTACCATTGCCTCTATGTGTTCCCGCTTTTGATAACAACTCTCTATTCTTATTATCTTACTATGCGATACGGATTCTATTTATATCCAAGATAATAAACTTAAATTTGCAATATGGAACAAAGCTTGAAGCTTGCTTCGACTCCGCCACGGGTTGCCCCAGTATTTCACGATCTCCGGGATTGGCCCACTCGCCCCAGCGGGCGTGAGTACAGCACTATTCTTAATAAAAACGATGTGTCCGGATTCACCAAAGATATTACGGTAAACCGCGAGTGTGCGGCGACTCTCCGAAGCCTTGGTGTCACGCTGCCCCAATGTACGCGGTATTCGCCGCCTTTCGCCCGCGTGCGGAAGTGCCCTATGTGTGCTCACACTTCCAATTGCTTTGTGAAAGTAAATCTTTGTGTCGAAAATTTATATTGAGCAGCACCTTCTTTGTGTTTACTCATACATTTTCCAAGTTTTTTTTTCAACATCCCATTTATGAAAGGTAATGAGTAGTTTTACTGTCCCATTTATGAAAGGTAATGAGTATTTTTACTGTTTCAAAGGAAATTTAAAATTGTGTATGTGAAAAAACAGCCTTGTTTAGCCATTTACACTATTGGAGTTTGTGCATTTCAGAAAAAAAAGAAACAGCTTCTATTGCGTGTTGGTGTTTCTGTTCACAGTTGCAGTGACAAGCGAAGGCATTTTTATTTCACGTCTTCACTAGAAGTCTTACCCTGAAGGCGTGTTCTCTCACGACATCTTCACATGTACACTCTTCCCCATCACAAAATAAATTAGCGAGGAACAGCAGAGGACGCACCACGCAGGAACCTGCAGCGCGGCGGTTTCGCAAAGCCCCAACGTGCAGGCGTCTCTGTGCTCTTCTTGTGTGCAACGACCTGGGTCCCAGCTTCCGCCAGCGGTATCTGTAATTCGTTGCCATGCGGTTAGCTACCTCACTGGTGCTCTCGGCCATCGCCTTGTTCTTCACGCTTTACACGTCTGGACATCATCTCGAGCATACCAACTCATCCGTCGTCGGATCTCTCTAATTACAACTGCGATGATGTTTATTCAAACAGAGGAGTCGCAGCAAGGTCGCGACGGAAAATGGGCGTACGGCAAGTTTTGCAAAGGCGGCACAGGCTGATGCTGATGACCTCTGATGGATGGCGCTTACCCACAAAGGGGGATGGGCCAAAAACCGGGCGGCAGGATACTTAAATGAAACTAAACTGAAAATGAATCCAATCTGAAAAAGTAACTTATAATAATCCTACCAAAAAACAAATATGTGTGCTGAGCAAGCGGTCAAACCATCTTTTCTTTTTGAAACACATAACTACGAATTATAAACTAAAGATCTGAAAAGGTAGTTGTTCACTAGCATGGTAATCTTTTAGTTGCGTTGATGTAATCAAACACAGCGGAGCATACATCCCTGTGGCAGTAACCAAATGAAGTTCCGCCAAGTGATAATATTACTGGTAAATTTACTTGTATTCCTAGCTTTTGTAATGGGGCTACTAAAAATCTTTTTCTCTGATAAGAATAACGATGACAGAATAAAAAGAAATGTTCAATTGTTTCAATTTCGTTGCACCAAATGCATAGCGGTGACGCCTTGAGCTGAGCTTTATTAAGGTAATAATTTAGTTGTGGAACTGCACAGCGCAATCTGGTATAAGTGACCTCTAACTGGCGAGATACAAACCACTGTTTATTCCAGCCATAGCTGAAATGCTCGAAATCTTCGAATTTATCCAAATTACCTTTTCCCCATCGCAGGCAAGCATTTCGGAACCTTAGCGCGGTTACGTAAGCCGTATCTGGCAAAACTGGGATGGTGGGCCCACCCAGGGATACTGCTGCTAAAGAGTCCACCATTTCGTTCAAATATAATCCGCGGTGGCCTGGTACCCATAGCAAATGCAGTTTTTTACGTTTTTCGGTACTAAATGCCGAAACGTATTCATCAGCTCTGAATTTACTGCCGCAGAAAGTGCATTACAAACTGATAATGAATCTGTAATGATAACTGCTAATGACTCGCTTGAGGGTAATTTGCGTAGGGCAAGAACAATGGCCAATAATTCTGCCATGAATACCGGGGTATAATCTGGCAGTCGAACTAAAAAGGACCAGTCCAAAGAAGGAGGGAAGATGCCAACCCCAGCCTTTTCTTTTGACACAGATGCATCAGTCGCTATGATATTGCTTATCTCTAGTTGGGTTAGATAATCTGCTAACTGGTCATTTAAATACCTATATGCCAATTGTTTCGCGTTATGAGGAAATATATCATCGAATTGTATGCTAAGCGTTGACTTTAGGTTGTGTAATGGACCAATATGTCTAAATTTTACATTCAGTTGCTTAAGTAGCGCTTGTGCAAATACTATTTGCGGGGCGTGTAGTCGCGATCAATGGGTTTCAAAAAATAAAGTCGGTTCTTGAATGAAAGCGTAAAATGAGAGTCTTTGGTGGGAACTGTATATCTTTAAGAATGCTTGCACAGTAACAATTTTAAACATATTTAGCAGAGAAGGTAGGCGAGCTTCCATATACAACACGTTATTTGCAGCAAAATTTGGTGAACCCAGACACAAACGCAACGCTTCTCTTTCCAGCAGTATTAGGGGTCTCACTTTATAAGCTGCGCTGCCAGAAAATAATACACATCCGAATTCCATGATGGGCCGCATATAAAGTTTATATATCATTATTAGTACATCTCTTCTTAAACCCGCTTTACGGTTTGCAAGCTTCCGTAGCCACCCCATGGCCCGTGTTGCCTTGGAGTACACATCATCAATGTGACTTCTCCAATTTATAGTGTCATTATATATGATGCCCAAATATTTAGGGGAATTCGCCTGAGGAATGAGCTAATTACTGTACATAAACGAGATGTTGATAGGCTGCAGGAAAGAGAATGCAAGAAGCACACTTTTCTTTATGTTCAGGGTCACATGAATATTTCTAAGCCATCTTTCTATCATATTGAGATAATTTTGTAGGCTCTGGTATAATGATTGAAGGTCGGTATTACTTGCGAAGAAAGCAATATCGTCCGCGTACACATATAACTGAATATTCTTACTTGATGGAATGGAGCTTAAGAAAATGTAAAATAACACTGGCGACAGGACAGCCCACTGTGTTACGCCACGTGTCTGCTTATATCTATTCGATGAGTACCCATCTTTAAAGCAGTAATATTCTCTCCCTGTTAAAAACTCCGACACCCACGCAGTGATGTAGTTGGGAAAGTGGTGATATTCCATCTGTTTTAATAAAATTGAATGCTCAACCCTATCGTACGCTTTAGCCAAATCTAAAGTAACTAAAGCACAGTAATGGCGCCGACGCCGAGACAGTTGTATTCGGCTCTAAAAAAACAACATGCGCACACCATATTGAGCAACCGGATCTAAAACCAATTTGACTGGGGTTTAATATTGCGTTATGATTAATATATTTCATTACCCGGGCATTCAAAACTCTTTCAATTAGCTTAACCAGATTTGACGTGAGTGATATCGGCCTTAAATTGTCCAAGGCAAATCCTTTTTCCTGCTTTTTAAGAAGTGGAATCACTTTAGACAGCTTCCATTCCGCAGGTATCCAAGCTTTTGTCAAATAAAAATACACCAGATTAAGTACTTCAGGTGGACAAATCTCGAATATTATTTTTATCATTGAATTCGTTACCCCGTCTGGTCCAGGTGCCGAAGAAGATAAGTGCCTTATTATCTCTGCCAGCTCATCTAAAGTAACCTCCTCTAAATCCTCGCCTGCCATTCGGTTCACAATGTGCAGTGGTATAGTTGACATGAATCTATCTTGGAGCCCTTTCGCAATATTTTCTACTAAATCAGAGAGCTCACGGGGGGGAAAGAACTGAAGAGTCAATATTTTCAGCGGGTGGTAACATCTTTTGAGATCTTAAAAATCTGAAGAACGCTTTTTGGTTTTTAGCCCTAGAAAGATACTCATGTCTTTTCATATTATAACCATCTTTTGCTGTACTTACTGTGCGTTTGAAGTCTGCTGCTGCGAATTTAAAATCAGGCCAATTTTTTGGACATTGGTTGACCAGCAGTTGTTTCCATGCAGCTTTCCGTTTTCTATAGCTCCTCGTGCACTCTTCAGTCCACCATGGACTAAAAGAACCTCTTGTGGCCCAGTCTAATTTAAACGTTGCGTCTTTTACTGATCTTTTTAACACTGCACACAGACTCATAGCCCTAATGTCACCTTGTATGTCCTTGCGGTGATCAAAAGTAGCCCTCAAGTCTTTTTCTAATTTTCTATAGTTGAGGAATGAGCGGGCCTTTTCGGCGACATGTGTTCTTGGAAAGTTCAGTACAAAACTAATAGGCAAGTGGTCACTGTTAGTAGCACAGTCTAAAGTTTGCCACGAACATATATTTAGAGATGAGCTTGAAAATGTCAAGTCAATTACAGATTTAGAGAGACCTCGGACAAAAGTAGCAGATTGCGAATTTAAACAAGATAAATTCTTGTCAATAGCCCATTCCCACAATTGTTTTCCGCTTAAATCTGTTTTAAAACCCCATGCCACATGAAGTGAATTGAAGTCTCCAGTGGTTAATATATCCTTTCTGCAGGCAGAGAACATATCATCTAGACTTCGTGTGTCTTGCACCCTGGCTGGGAAATACGCATTTACAAACGACAAGGGAGAAGCGTCTGGTAATATTACGTCTACTATCAAAATTTTACAATCTGGAGTCACACAACAATAAGAGATCGTAGCTTTGTGACTAAACTTAGTTGCTATCTAGACAGCAAGCCCACCACCTCTGCTAGGTCGGTCCAATCGAAATAGCCGATAATTTTTTAGGTAAAACTTCTGGCTGGTTGAAAGCCAGGTTTCTTGCAGTGATATAATATCCGGAGAAAGTTGTGAAGAAAGGTATGATAGGTCTGTGGCTGCGGAAAATATAGATCTGCAATTCCATTGTAATATGTTTAGTGAACCTATTTTGACGACAGAACCGTCGCCGAAACTGCATGGTCCAAAATGTCCTTTCGCAAAAAGTCTTTCTTAGGTATGTTCTCAAAGAATTCTTTTTTAGATAGATACTTTTTAGATTTAAAATTATGCGAAGAGTTTTTTGTTTGGGGAGATCGGGTTCACTTCAGAGTCTTATGAGAGTCCATATCCATATCCGC